TCTCTCTCTCTCTCTCTCTCTCTCTCTCTCTCTCTCTCTCTCAAGCCAAATATTCCTCAGAAATATTTTGGGGGAAGGGATTATAAGAAGTAGTGAGGGTAGGCATGATTGAGGGGAGATGTTGCAGTGAAGAGAGGCCACCAGATGATGGTTCCTAGGAACCCTTTAAGAATATAGACAGTTCCACAGTCCTACTTACTGGAAAGAAATGCAGCTTAGTGGGGAAACGAGAAAAACAAGCATGTAGCAAGGAGGTCTAGTTAGTTGGAACTGTGAGTCCTCAGAACACACTAACCCCCACTGCATTCCCCCTCCACACCAATCCTGTCAAAAACTCATATGAAAGAGAGGGGTTTTCTTAGCTAAATAACTTAGCTGAACCAAGATTACTGTAAGGTTCAAAGTTGCCGGTAGCAAGGGTTTCCCTTTAAGTGTTTATAAAAAATCGTCCTTATGGTGTTCTTACATATATACACATAGCTCAACAAAATGTTCCTCAAAAGTCAGTCTTAGGCTGTTTACATTATAATTTGCATTAAAAATGACAGCACAAGTGTTTGCTTTTCCACAGTAGGTAATGTTGGAAACTGAGATCAGAGACTAAGCAGGGGGGCTGGGTTCTCTAACTCCCTACATCTTAAATATTCCAGACCCACCCTATTTCTCAGATAGGTCTCACCAGAAAAGAAAACCGATACCAAACAGCCTGAACCAAAACCCTGAGCAATCCCAGCCTTCACGAGCTGCCCAAAACACCCAACCTCACCCGCCAACTTCCCCAACACAGACCTCGGTACCCAACGTGCAGAAGCGTTACTGTTTCACGGATCTTATCGCAACCGGTGATGAGATGTTACCCGTGGGTATCTGGGAGGCTTCCCTGAGCTTCCAGGTGGTAAATGGCCCTCTGAGTAATCATACATCGTTCTCATTTGAACTGTAACCCTCTACATTTTTGGCTTGATCCAGGTCCTAAATATTACTTCACTCCTTTCTTTTTTCTCTGTAGAATGTGTCTAAGCTATAGAAAGAGCTTCAAAAGTTAGGGGGTGAAGGGCCCAGAAGCCCGGATTTAGTCCGCGATCCGCGTCCCGCTGGGAGCGTCGAACACCATTTGTTTGTCCACGGGGAGGACAAAAAGCCCTTTCTCCCCACTGTGCCCTCTCCCGTCTCCCCCTCCCCTTTGCCCGACCTCCCAGCCTACAGATCTCTTGTTATCTAAGATTAAATATTCCAATATGGAAGCAAAACGATCTCCCCTAGAACAAATAATTAAAATGCTGCATCATTCATTTTCTGAAGAGCTCTGAGCCTTCCACGGATCCTTTTCTAATCTGTTGTCTCCAGGCGAAAGGCACAATGGGTTTGTTTAGAAAACGAAAATGATTTAAAGCTCAAGCCTTTTTTCCTTCCATCTTTTACAACAGGAGGGAGCGGACCATTGGGGGAGGGGCCCTTCGCTCAGCCACCTGGCCTATTTGTTGGAGTTACTTACGATTTCCTCCACCAGAAAAGGGGTCTGAGGGTCTATTAGTCTACAAAGCCACTCCTTCCACCATCGTCCTTACAGTTAATAATTCAGTTCCAAACGCAGCAACCCCCTAGCACCTGTGAGCGTTCAGAAGACGCGGTCAAACTATATCCTTAACATTGCACCTCTTACAAGCGAGAAATACTGGTTTCAATTTGCCAAAGTAGAAAAGGATGGCGGCGAATACCTATGGTGCAGAGTGATCACGATCTCCGAGGTTTGCTCCGAGGGGCTTCCCAACAGGATGTGCAAACTCTCTGGGAGGCTGAATTGTATCCATTGTGTCGTAAGCCTGCATTTTTCTCCTGCTCCAGCCACCAACTTTCAGAAAGGCCACCAAATCTCGCCTGTAATCCTTTTAAGTGTTTCCCACCTTTGAGACTTGCAGAGAAATGGTCGCCGCATACCAATGGGAGAGCCCGGCGCTCACCTAGCGCGGCAATGCCAGTGACAGGGAGCTCACTACCACAGATCCATATGCCCCGGATGGCAAGCAGGCAGCGTGAGAGTCCCGGGACTTGGTTCTTTGATTTAAAATCTCTGTGCTTTCAATTCAGAGGCAAGCTTCGAGGTCCCCGAGAACCCTGACTGGGTCCCTTTTTTTTTTTTTTTTTTGCTCCTTCTAGCTTTCAATAAGGTTGTCACAGCTCAATCCCTGCCAGAGGCCTCCTGGATCCTAGGAAGATGGGACTAGCCCTTGCTCCTCTGGTGTCTCCGTTCTTGACCCTTTGGCTAGATGGGGGTGGATGGTGTGTAGATAAGATAATAGGGTGGGGAGGGGCGGCAAAGAGACAGGAAGGGGGCGACTAGAACCCAGATTCCAGCATTGGCCAGAGGAAAGGGGGGGGGCGCGGGGGAGGAAGAAGAGAGGGAGAGAGGGAGAAAGGGTGGGGGGGGTGGAGAGAGAAAGAGAGAGACCTCAGTATGGCTGTACACACCAAATTCGACTTGGATTTGGAGATATCAGGCAAAGCACGAAGGGGAAGCGATCCTGTTGGCAAAGAGTGAGCCCCCGACAGCTCATCATTCAAGCACCCTCACTTCTCAAGCGGGGTGGAGGGGTGCAGGAAAGGGGCAAGAGGAAGGAACGTTCAGGCCAAGGAGACGCTCGGGGCGGCAGCATCTTTTAAGTCTGACCTGCTTTAAAAGTGTCACTTTAATGGCCTAGGAAATAACCAAAATCGGATTACAGGTTACTTACCAACGTCTGCACCTAAACTGGGAGCGCCGGTTGGGTACTAGGAGGTAATATACGAAACGCCAGGCAGGAATCTGAATGTAAATCCATCAGCTGCCCCAAAATCGTGCAGGGAGGGAGCGGCGCTCTGGAGCCCCCAGATCAGCCCATCGCCCGAGTCTCCGCCAGCTTGTCCCCCCGCACCCCCCGCCCCTCCTCCGCGCCAACTGTGTAAATCAGCCGCTGCAGTCCTCTCGCCGCGCATCGCAGGCAAATCCCTGCTTAGGAAGCAAAGAAGCAAGTGATCTCTCTCTCTCTCTCTCTCTCTCTCTCTCTCTCTCTCTCTCTCTCTTATCGGTCACAATCTGGCAGCTTGTCAAAGAGAAGCCCTGTAAAATTAAGTGACAGGAAATCAGCATTTTGTATCTGAGGATTGATTTTAACTTTTATGTCGAATGTGAGAAGGCTGTTTGGAAAATTACAGCCCAGGCCCTAGGGGTGGGGGTCGGGATTATCACATTTAGAGCATCTGAGCTGTATTGGTGGGCGGAATCGCTAAACACCTCCTCGAAGCTGTTTCCAAGTGACTTGCAGTTGTCCCCCATCTTCATGATGCATAGGTGACGATTTGAAAGTACACATATTTCTTCATCTATTTACACTTGGGAAGGAGAGAATAAAACTGGAAATGAGAGATGTGCTTTTTTAAATTTTTGGTGGGGGGAGCATTTTCTGGAGGGATGTTGGATGCCTTTTCGTGGCAAATTAAATAAGGACACTTGAACAATTATTGCACCTCCATGAAAGTATTATTACAACATTATATACTCACTGGAGGCTACCATTACCCCTACTGCAGTCATACTAATGCAGTCATTTAAAACACAATTCAATCTGCAGTGTAAACCAACGCAGTTCTTTCTAATAGATCCCTTTCATCAACCACTGTGTCAAAGGGAAGACAGTCTTCCACTAACTCCCAAACTGAACAGGAGGTAGTCTAGGGAACTCTGTATCTGTTACCATCCCTTCCTGAAATGAATGCTATAAATTGTCCAAGACAAGCTGAAATGTGTAGTTATTATAATTGCAAATGCAATTTGAATTTTACCCTATTTTCAAAAGCTTTCAAAGGAATTCTAACTCAATGCTTACTAAGAAACAATACTCTTAATTTATATATTAAACCTTTGAGATATTGGCCTCATTATGTTATTTCAGCCTTTACTTGACTTTCCATGCAGCATGGTATAGTATTGTTACTGTATATATGTATATATACACACGTGTGTGTATGCATGTATAATGTCCCAAGTCTAATATTCATATAATCTGCATTAAAATAAAAGGAAACAATGTATCATAATGAAGTCAGAGGTGTGTGGAAATTGGGGAATATATGTGTGTGTGTGTGATCCACATACACACACACATATATATGTGTCTGTCTGTATGTATAGATAGATAGATAGATGGATAGATGTGTGTATGCCCAAATTCAATATGGCAACTATGTTGGTTATATATAAAGTGTGAATTTACATTGTTCCTTTAAAAAAACATGTTTCAATTTGTCCCTTCAAAATATTGTTTTTAAAGATTATTTACAAGGACCCTGGAAGGGATGGAAACATTATGATGTCAAAATCTACTTTTTTACTACTCAACTGTCATTTGAGATCTAATGGTATGAATTCCAAACCTTTCCTCAGTATTTTCTAAATAAATTATGTAAATTTTACCGATGTGAAGACATGAAAATGAAAACAACATTTGTTTTGGGTTTTTCACTCAGGAGATCTCCAAATTGAGTTTTAAAGATCTGTCCCTGGATAGGTTGTGAAAAAGATCCATACCTACAACAAATCAATCTGATGTAGGAGAAACCAATCTACATTAGAAGACTGATGAGTCACAAAGATGTTTTGTCTTTTTCAGGTGGTTGCTCATTTAGAGAAGAATAATTCCTGAGTATACTATGTTCTATATGTGCAAGTGTGAACTCACACACATGTACCTGCTTTGGGGCTGGAGGGAATGAGAGTAAGCCAGAAAGAAACAGGCAGTGTCTTTGCTAAAATATCTGTTTGTTTGTTTTTTTTAACTACCCAGGACTGCTTTTATTTTATTTTCAAGGCCATGTGATAATGAAAAATTCTGAATATATAATACACTCACTCTGAGAAGATGTTGGTCTGGACTGATGGAAATGGGGAGCTACAGAAGACTGATAGCTAGAATAGGTTGTTAGTATTAGCAGTCTGATTAAGTGCTTATAAGTGCCTGCTCCACAAGTATATGTTTATATATTTATTCATATGGAACATGATGTGCAACATGAAGATGAACTGTCATGAAAACTTATCTACTGATGACACACATTAGATAAAAGGAAAACATTATTAGAACAGAATTTTGAGTTCAATAAAAAATCAAATAAGTTTAAATTGCTAATTGACATATTTTAATTACAAAGACATTATAATATTTCAGTTTATGTTTAATAGACTTGCTGTTTTCCAGAGAGCAACATACAAAATGAATGCATATCATTATTTTTTTTTTTTTTAAATATCCACATTTTCCTTGTCTGGATTATATTTTACTCATCCTGATTAAAATAAAATTAATTGATAAAGATTTTAAAATATGTAATACTAATTTAAGTGGTGTTAGAGAGCTATGTGCTGTCACCCAATGATGTTCCAAATGCTATAGCAATTAGTGATTTGTATAGCTTATCTAAGTTATCTATACATTGAAGTCATCACTTGTTAACTATTGCACATTCATGAAGCATACTTCTACTTCTAATTCATCTATTCCAGATATTTCCAGTTAACAAACCACATGGTTGATACTTGTCAAAAAGCTAATCACAATCTCATTTGATTCACTTTTGATAGTACTGTTGAAATTATTAAAAAATATAGTTACACATATACTTTTATAAATAGTAGTTTTATCTGCAAAAATCTTAAGTGAAGGTACTTCCTGGCAGCACAATGGGTTAAAGCTCAGCACTGCAAGCTAACACAGCCCTGGCCAGGGAGGTGACCCACATCGCACAGTAGACCTCTCCTATCTTGTCTGTTGCTCCCTTCAGCAGTGTACTTTGTTGATTTGCATGCCCTATTCCCCACTCTGTCTCTGGTGAATCTTCAAAACTCCCCTGCACCACTTCCCTGTCCCCCAGTTCTCTATACATACATACATACATAAATCTTAAAACAAACAAACAAAAGAAAAACTTAAGTAATAAACAGCTAATTAAACACTAGACATTTAGCATTTTTTTTAAGATTTATTTATTCATACAGAACTGGGGTACAGGCCAGAGATGCAGAGGGTGAGAGGATTCACCAGAGACAGAGTGGGGAGCAGAACAGGCAGATAGACAAAATACACTGCTGAGGGGAGCAGCGGGCAGGTCAGGAGAGGTCTGCCATGCCATGTGGATCTCCTCTGGGGCAAGCAGGGATCGATCTCATGCGGAAGTGGCTTAAGCTTCTTAGTGCTGTGCTTTAACCCGCTGCACCACCAGGGAGGGCCAGCAAAACTGTTTAAGCTTCTACAAATGAAACTTCATTATTTTGAAGTAAACATGAGTTAAGATTCCAAAGTTTAATTAAATTATTTTTATCAGAGATAAACTATTCAATATAAAGAAAGCTTCAAATTTTATTTGTAGAGTGAAATAAACAGAATCAATTAATATCTCCTTTATAAGAGTTTATTAGAATTAATAGAATTCAGTTGTGCAGATTAATACAATTAGAGGGAGAGAAAGTATTAAAAGATCAAGATAAGGGAAATAGCAAATCAAATATGTTTGGTGAAGTGAATTAAATAGTCAAGTAATATATCACACATTGAAGAGTAGGTGTCACATTTAATGGAAATAAATAAATATAAGTAAAACATCAACTAGATTTAAAACGTGTGTGTGTGTGTGTGTGTGTATAGATAGATAGATAGATAAATGAGTAATGCAAAATGAGATTCTTAGACTTGAGAGACTTGAAAGCTTATATAGTTTCACCATTTATGTGATATTCAAGCTTCCAGTTCACAATAACATGCCATGCTTTGGTCCAAAATATTCTTTAATATTGCCTATGATATAGAGTTTGGTATATTTTGGGGGAATCCATTTTATTTTTGGACAAATCTAACTGACAGAAAATTATTTATGCAAGCTGAAAAAAAAAGTGCTTGACTTTAATGTCTTAGTTTTAAACATTAATAATTTGTAAAACACTAAAAAGCAGTGAAATTCCTGCTTCTTTGAATTAGATTTATATTCAAACAGGAAAAACTCATCTGCAAAGTAAAATGCATAACATATCTTCAAGAAATGTTTAGGACTAGCAAGGAGTCATTTCAATCAAGAATTTTAACTTCATCATTGAGATTGTCATGAAACTATAGAATTTGTTTTAATCACTAATGTGACAAAATGTTTAAAGATATCATAGTGTTTGAAATTTATTTCTTAAATTTTCAAAATACTTTAACTAGTTTTGATAGATATCCTTGTGGAAACATATACACTGTTCTATAGGTGTTATCTTAATCTAGCTATAGTTCACAATTTTACTATAATCTTAATTTAAAACCATCCAAATCAATAAATATTGTTTTAAAATGTTCTACAACATCATAAAGGAATAGTATTCATATTGGCTAAAGGTGCCAGGGATCTTAAAGGACACATGTAGACGTTTATAAGGCAAATCAAATCTCCCCTGGTATTTGAATTCTTGAAATCTACTTGGGAGGATCAATATGAAATGAAATATTTTGGAATGGGGTTGATTTCAGTGTAATGTCTGATTTTAAACTCATTTTCTGTCGACATGGGGCAGATAAAAGTCTTTAATATGATAATGTGCTGGACTTGACAGATAATGGAAATCTTATATACAATGTAAGGATTGAACAAGAATGTTCTGAAACACAAAATATATATCTAAATGTCAGTAATTCCTAAAATGACATAAATTCTAAAAGAAAAGTTCCATTTGACAGTCTCCCATATATAATTTTGTTTCATGAGTTAGGCTTAAAGCTTCTGTTAGCTTTTTGTTCTGTCTAAAGAACTTCTATCCCACTTCTATGCGGTTAAATTAATTATGTCTAGTGCTTTCCATATCCTTTCCTTTTTTTTGAGTATTGGAATTGGTGTTTTGTATTTTTTTCCATATGTGAT